CTAGAAAAAGAATAAAAGTCATTCAAATTGGAAAAGAGGAAACAAAACTGTCATTATTTGCATATATAGAAAATCCTATAGACTCCGCCAAAAGACTACTCAACCTACTAAGTGAATTCAGCAAAACAGCAGGATAGAAAGTCAATATCCAGAAATCAAAGGCATTTTGTACAGTAACAATGAAATATCAGGAGAAATCAGGAAAAAAATCTCATTTCATATAGCAACAAGAAAAATAAAGTACCTACAAATAAACCTAACCAAGGATGTAAAGACCTGCATTCAGAAAATTATACAACACTGAAGAGATATATTAAGGAAGACACAAACAAATGGAATGATGTACAATGTTCATTGATTGGAAGAGGTAACATCATCAAAATGTCCATACTACCCAAAGAAATTTATAGATTCAATGGAATCCATATTAAATTATCAATGACATATTTCACAGATAAAAAACAAATATTTCAGAAATTTATATAGAACCATGAATGACCCTGAATAGCCACAACAATACTGAGAAAGAACAAAGTAGGGGAGACCACAATACTCGATATCAACTGTATTAAAAGGCCACTGTAATCAAACAGCCTAGTACTGGCACAAGAACATACACATTGACCAATGGAACAGAATAGAGAGCCCAGAAATAAACCCAGGTCTCTATGGTCAATAGTATTTGACAAAGCAGACAGAAGCATAAAATGGAGTAAAATTAGCCTCTTCAACAAATGGTGTTGGGAGAGCTGGACAGCTACATGCAAAAAACTGAAACTCAATCACCAACTTACACCATACAGAAAAGTAAATTCAAGGTCGGTAAAAGACTTAAATGTAAGTCATGGCACCATAAAAGCCCTAGGGGAAAAAATTGGCAGTAATATTTCAGATATTCCACCCAGCAATGTTTTCACTGATATGTCCCCTAGAGCAAGGGACATAAAGGAAAGAATAAACAAATGGGACCTCATCAAATTAAAAAGTTTCTGCACAGCTAAAGAAAACAGCATTAAAATGAAAAGAGAGCCAACTATATGGGAAAACATATTTGCCAATGATATCTCAGACAAGGGTTTGATCTAAAAAAATGTATGTGTGTGTGTGTATATATATATATACACACATACATATATATATGTACACATATATATATATACACACACACACATATATATATATATATCATGATTCCACTCCATGAAGACAAAAAAAATCAATTAAAAAAATGGGCAAAGGAAAAAAAATGGGCAAAGGACTGAAACATACACTTCTCCAAGTAGGACATACAGAGCACCCAGAGACATGTGAAAATATGTGCAGCATCACTAGCCACAACAGAGACGCAAATTAACACCACAATGAGATACCACTTCATATCAGTCAGAATGCCCATCATAAACAAACAAATCAACAAACAAGTGTTGGAGAGGTTGTGGAGAAAAGGGAACCCTAGTGCACTGTTGGTCAGAATGCAGACTGGTGCAGCCACTGTGGAAAACAGTGGGGAATTTCCTTAGAAAAATAAAAATGGAACTGCTTTTTGATCTGGGATTTCCACTGCTGGGATTATATCCTACGAAGCCTTAAACACCAATCCAAAAGAACTTTTGCACCCCAATGTTCATAGCAGCATAATTTATAATAGCCAAGTGCTGTAAGCAACCTAAGTGCCCATCAGTAAATGAATGCATCAAAAAATATGGTACATTTACACAATGGAATACTAGACAGCAGAGAGATAGAAGGAGCTCCTACCCTTTGCAACAGCATGGATGGAACTGGAAAGCATTATGCTAAGTCAAATAAGCTAGGTGGTGAGGGACACATACCATATGATCTCACCTTTAAGTGGAACCCAATCAACAAAACAAACAAGCAAGCAAAATATAACCAGAGACATTGAAATTAAGAAAAGTTTTTTAGTAACCAGAGGACAGGTGGGAAGGGATAATAGCAGGAAGGGGGGATGGTTTTCAGGAACAAGTATAAAGGACACATAGATAAAACCAAGGTGGGTGGAAGCAAAGGAGGGAAGTCGAAATGGCTGGGGTGGGGGGGATTAGTGGGAAATAATAGCAGACACCCATAATTGAACAACAATAAAATAATTTAAAAATGAATACATTTTCAAAATAACCATGTTCTGGTGGTGCTGGCTACTACATTAAAGTAAGCGGAAGAAGGAGGGAGAATAAATAAAAGATGATGAAAGAAAAATATATAATTTTGAGATTATTTTCTTCTTTACATAAAGAGTGGAGAGGCAATTGGGCTCAGTGCCTCTTAGCAACAAAAAGTCAGTAAGGTTAAACTTTACATTTATTGATCATGGCTTTTCTAGTTGTTTGCTACCATGTATTTCTCTCTTCTAACCAGATTCCCATTCCCTGTTTGCCAATCCCACTGCCCAAAGTCATTTTTTCCTCATACTGCTAATATATGTGCATGTCAGTGCAGCCAGCCTACTGCCAGAGCCCACTTTGTTTATGTTTCTTTCCTATCCAAAAGTTTCCTAACTGGAGGAGAATTAAAAGAAAGGGTGGCCTAGAAAGTGTTAAACTTACTGAATAAATAAATATTGCCAAGTTCTCAATTTCTGGAGCAAATTCAAGGGTTGAGCTGCACATATAATCTGAGACTGTGTTTAATTCAAAGATAACTTGTTTTGAGATTTGAATGAGTTGAATGTCTTTCCAAGTGCATATGAAAGACAATCATTGTCTGAATTGTCCAGAAATTATGAACATTTAAAATAAAATTAAAACTGAAGTTTGAATAGAAAATAAATAATAGATAAAAGAATAAAGTCACAGCTCAAAGGCTAATTTTCCAATGGTCCTTCCCTCACTCTGATTTGGATCCCTTCATCCTGAGAGGGAACTTCAGGCAAAGAATCATGTAAAGAAACAGCCTAAATTGATGTGTCCTCTCTCCCTCTAAACTCCCCTTGCGTCTGAATCTTCTAATAGGGTTTAAAATGTGCTGTATTTAGGAAGAAACCTGAAGTCCCCCTTTCCCCGCTTTCTGATCTCTTGTTTACCCAAATAGGTCAGACTGGTACTTGAAGGCCAGAAGCCTTAGCACCCATCTTCAAGAGTTTTTGCAAACCCTCCCTCTTCCACCTACTCCAGATCATGTGTTTCCAGGCTTCACCAGAGCACACCAGTAGAATACAATGTAATCTGCAACTGCTGGAGCTGGACTTAATAGGTACAAAGAGTAAACAACTTCATCCTTTTATTCTACAACAGCCCCTCCATGCACATTCTTTACTGACAACTGGAGAACCTTTAGGAAAATCTTATAACTATGGGGGTAAATCTCAGAAAAAAAAGAAGTCCAGTACAATATAACAATAGAGCTTCCAATTCTTATCCTATTTGAAACCCCTATCCCCAAGCTTATGTTGGCTCAAGTTGGAGCCCTGAGGAGTGGGGAGCAGGGGCAGTCAGTGTGTCACTATGTTCTCAATCTACCTTCACTCATTTACTGTTGTTTGGACCACCACCCCCAAGGTCAGATAGGGTAGAGATGGGAAAGAAAGAAAAGACAGAAAGGTCTTTATTGACATAAAGGATGACATTTATGCTCTCTGAGCATGGCAGACTCCAAATACCTTTCTTTTGTCAAGGTCTTATGTTCATTCTCTCATCTAAAATTCTGTTGATATGGGTGACACCTCTCTACTAGTTGCTTATGACCTTGACTTCCTCTAGTCTGCAACTGAGGGCACAGCCACTCCTGACATACCTCTGTGAGGTCCACACCAGCCCAGAGGAAGTAAACTCCCTTCATGCCCTGCCAAACTCCAGGAGAGGAGCAATCTGAGGCCACCTCATCCCTCTCTAACTAGCCTCCTGAGTCCTGGTCAGCCACAGCTTCTCAACTTTAGACCTTCTCAAGCCTTAGCCAAGCTATTGAATGGTTCTGTTCAACTCCCTCCTTTGGGTTAAATGGGAAGGAATCAACCCTTTTTTATTTCTTATGGGAAGAGGTAGGCTTTCAGCCCGCAGCTCATTCAAAGGAAAGTCTCCCAGCAGACTTACCAACTTCTCTGCATCTTGCTTTTACAACTTTGAGGTGAATGAGAAACTAAGGGTTACACAACCAGTTTCACACACCTTTATGCTGGGTGGAGGGATAAGTATAGTTCTCAATTCTGGAGCTTCAGCCACATCCTCCTTCACAAGGGACCTTACCCAGATTCATCACCTACCCCAAGTGCGGGAGCACCAAACTCAAGATCACTCATTTCATTCACCCACAAACATTCTTTGAGAATTTAGCTTAGGCTGCCATGACAAAATACCATAGCCTGGGGGGTTTCAACAATAGAAATTTATTTCTCACAGTTATCAGGGCTGGGAAGACTAAGATCAAAGAGCCAGCAAGGTATGTTTTATTCTGAGGCCTATTCTCTTGACTTGTGGGGGGTGCTGCCATCTTTCTGTGTGCTCACATGCTGAGGGGATGAGGAGATAATTCCACCATTTGGGCCCCACTCTCATTACCTCATCTAACCCTAATTGTGTCCCAAAGACCTCAGCTCCAAATACCATCACATGGGGGGTAGGGCTTCAACATATGAATTGAGGTGGGAATCGGGATACAAACATTTAATCCATAATGAGCACCTACTGTATGTCAAACCTTATACTGAACCCTGAAGATAAGAGCAACCACAAAACATGCCAGGTGGGAAAGAAAGACAAATTATAGATAAATGATTGCACCACAATATGAGACATGCAAAGTGACAGCCAGAGGAAGGGTTAACAGAGGCAGCTTCCTGAAAGTCTCTGACCCTAGAAAGGGCTGCAGTGGTGTGGAGGGGCCCAGTGGGCACAAAACATGGGTGTGTGTCCATCAGACATGTGGAGACCACTCACCAGGCATTGCATCTCATGGAGGGCAGGGTGCCCTTGAATATCTGCTTTTTTGCAGTAACATATGTCCTGCCAGGGTGGGCATCCTGATACAAAACCAGGATGAGGTGGTCACTTCAGCAGCAGATATACTAAAACTGGAATCATACAGAGAAGATTAGCATGGCTTCTGCATAAGGATGACATGCAAATTCATGAAGCACTCCATATTTTTCTTTTGGAATGTATTTGACAAGAAAAATTTAACACTGTTTTCACCTCAATGTAGAAATACAGTGGTTTTGTGTTTCTTTCTTATAGTGCTGCCAAAACAAAATAATCATTTTTGCAAAAAAGAAAAAAAAAACCAGGATGAGTTTTAATTGATGTTGATTGAACACTTGACATCTGGCTGGACTGGGCCAGGGGTTTCCTATACTTTCCCAAAAACCTGGAAATGAGGAATGGTACTTCTATTTTATAAATAAATAAACTGAAGTTGAAATACAGAAGTGAGTCTCTGCATACAGGAAGCAAATACATTCACAGCCCAAGAGAAGACTGCATGCTGTTTGGAAGAACAAATCCCTAACCATAAGCTCCCAGCACCTATAGGTTTCCCAGCACACAGGCATTTCCATTCACTTCCAGCTTTTTCCTCAAAATGCCATAAAGGAAATTTTGTCTAATTCTAGGTTCTTTGCATTTTGTTTAGAGGCTGAGATAAAAATGGGTTTATTGTTCCATCTGTGGTTGCCTAAATAAAAGTGGTTCTGAACCAGGTAACACAATCTACCCAAATCTTTTAACTTCTATTAAAAACCATGAAGGGAAATTTATCAGGATGTGCCTGTGACAATTTGAAAATCAAAAAGTCCTCTTTTATCTTCCAGTTTATTTACAGGTACAGCCTAGTGACAGCAGCAAATATTTTTCTAGTGCAGTGACTTGGATGGGACACAGAGACAAAGTAGCAAACAGGTAATCCCATGTCCCTAAAAACTAGTGTAGCACTGCCACTGTCAGACAATCCTGAAGCAGGTCCCAGCCTACTGAGGCCACCAGCAGACATAATCCGTCAGTTGACTCTACCTCTCAAAGGAGCAAGCTAGGTATCTCCTGCTCCCTTCTACTCCAGGAGAAAGGAAAGAGAAATCTGGAGGCTCCTATTAGGAAATGGACAGAATGAGTAGAAGGGAAGACTTCCAGAAAGACTTTCTGTTTCCAAAAATCTGTTAGATAAAAAACAGGACCTAAGATAGCTCTGACTTTATCATCTTTTCTAGAAATTTTAGAGTAAAACACCTGTTTCTCTGGGGTGGCTTCCAAGTTGTCTTCACAGAAGATACCTTTTGATATTTTTTATAAACCCTTTCCAAGGAGCCTCTGGGCACTGTTACAATCTTTCTAAATTACAGTTCAGTTTTTTTACTAGTTCACATTCAATATTATATTAGTTTTAGATGCACAGCATAGTGGTTGGATACTTATATCACTTACAAAATGATCCCCTGATAAGTCTAGTACCCACCTGGCACCACATAGTAATTACAATATTATTGACTTTATTCCTTATGCTGTACTTTACATTGCTGTGATTGCTTTATAACTATCAATTTGCCTTTCTTAATCCCTTTCCTTTTTTGTCCAGCCCGCCCCCTCAAAACCCTTTCCCATCAGGTAACCATCAGTATATGCTATCTATGAATTTGTTTCTATATTTTTTGCTCATTAATTTTTTTCAGATTACACATGAAACTAAAATTATAAGGAAATTTTCTTTCTTTGTCTGACATATTTCACTTAGCATAATACCCCCCAGATCATATATGTTGTCATAAATTGTAAGATTTTATATGGTGAAGTAGTTCCATTGTATATACGTACCATATCTTTCTTATCCAATCATCTATTAATAGACACTTAGGTTGTCTTCATATCTTGGCTACTGTATATGATACATAGTGAACAAAGGGGATTGCTGGGTCATATTGCATAGTTCTATTTTTAATTTTTTGAAGAAACTCCATAATGCTTTCCATAGTAGTTGTACCAATTTAAAATCCCACCAACAGTGCACTAGGGTTTCCTTTTCTCCTCACCCATGCCAGCATTTATTGATTTGTTGATGATAGCCACTCTCTCAGGTATGATTTTAATCATGGCTTTAATTTGCATATCTCTGATAATTAGTGACATGTTCCATCTTTTCTTGTCTTTTGGAGTGTATGTCATCTTCAGAAAAATGGCTAGTCATTTTCTCTGCCAACTTTTTTTAAGATTTTATTTTTTATTTTTAAACTTTTTTTTATTGTTCAAGTACAGTTGTCTCCATTGCCCCAGCACCACTCCTCCCACCTCGGCCATCCCCACTTTCCACCCTTGATCTTACCCCTTTGGTTTTGTCCACGTATCCTTTATAGATGTTCCTGAAAAGCCTTCCCACCTCTTCCCCCCCAATGTCTCCTCCCACCTCCCCTCTGGTTACTGTCAGACTGTTCTTAATTTTAATGTCTCTGGTTATATTTTGCTTGTTTGTTTGTTTTGATTAGATTGCACTTATAGATGAGAATTGAATTTTTTTTTTGTATGCGTTATACTACATGAGTTCTTTATGTTTTCTGGATGTTAACCCCTTATTGAATGTATCATTGCAAATATCTTCTCGCATTAAGTAGATTTTCTTTTTGCTTTATTGGTGGCTTCCTTTGCTGTACAAAATATTTAGTTTAATGTAATCCATTTGTTTATTTTTTTCTTTTGTTGACATTGCCTAAGGAGATATATTAAAAAAATATATATCTAAGAGAAATTCTATGTTTTTTTTATTTCAAGTATTACATTTAAGTCTTTAATTGATTTTGGATTAATTCTGTACATGGTTTAAGAAAGTGATATAGTTTCACTGTTTTTGCAGGTATCTCTCCAGTTTTCCCAAAATCATTTATTAGAGAAAGTGTCTTTACCCCATTGTATATTCTTGCCTCCTTTGTCATAAACTTATTAATCATATAAGTGAGGGTTTATTTCTGGGCTCTCCATTTTGTTCCATTGATCTATGTGGCTGTTTTATGTCAATACCATGCTGTTTTTATTATTATGTCCTTGTAGTATGGTTTACTATTAGCTAGCACGATTTCTCCAACTTTGTTCTACTTTCTCAAGATTGCTGTGGCTATTCAGGGTCTTTTGTTGTTCCATATAATTTTTTAAATTATTTGTTCCAGTTCTGTGAAATATACCTATCAAAGGCATACATTTGATATACCAAAATACATTGGTATTTTGATAGGGATTGCATTGAATCTATAGATTGCTTTGGGTAGTATGGACACTTCAATGGTGTTAATTCTTTCTATCCATGAACATGAAATACACTTCTATTTATTTATATTTTCTTCAGTTTCTTTCTTCAATGTTTTATAATTTTCTGAGTACAAGTTTTTTACCTCCTCGATTAACATTATTTTTAGGTTTTTAAATGCAATTGTTTTTTGTTTATTGTTTTTAATTGTTGTTCAAGTACAGTCTCTCCATTTTCCCTTCTTAATTTCTCTTTCTGATAATTCAGTATTGGTGTATAAAAAAGCAACCATTTTCTCAATGTCAATTTTATATCTTGCAAATTTACTGAATTTATTTATCAATTCTAACAGTTTTTTGTTGGAACCTCTAAGATTCTCTTTATATAATATCATATCACCTGCAAATAGTGACAGTTTTACTTCTTTCTTTCCAATTTCAATGCCTTTTATTTCTTCTTTTTGTCTGATTGCTGTGTCTATGACTTCCAATACTATGTTAATAACAGTAGTAAAAATAGGCATTATTGTCTTGTTCCTATTACTAAGGAAAATGCTTTTAGATTTTCACTGTTGAGTATGATGTTAGCTGTGGGTTTGTTATGTATGGCCTTTATTATATTGAGGTGTGTTCCCGCTATCCACACTTTGCTGAGAGTTGTTATTATAAATGAATGCTAAATTTTGTCAAAAGTGTTTTCTGCATCTATTGATATGCTCATATGGTTTTTATGTGTATGTAGTGTATCACATTCATTGATTTGAAGATAATAAAACAACCTTGCATTTCAAGAATAAGTCCCACTTGATCATGGTGTATATTTCTAATATACTACTAAAATTACTTTGCTTATATTTTATTGAGGATTTTTGCATCTATGTTCATCAGGGATATTGACCTATAATTTTCTTTTTTGTAATGTCTTTTTCTGGTTTTGGAATTAAGATAATGCAGGTCTCATAAAATGAGCTTGGGAGTCTTCCTTCTTCTACAATATTTTCAATAGTTTGAAAAGGATAAGTGTTAAGTTTTCTTTGAATGTTTGGTAAAATTCACCAATGAAGCCATCTAATCCAGGACTTAGTTATTACTCTGTTAGATTTCCTATTTCTTTCTGATTCAGGCTTAGAAGATTGTGTGTTTCTAGGAATTTATCCATTTCCAATTCATTGGCATATAATTTTTTTGTGGTATTTTCTTACAATCCTTTGTATTTCAGTAGTGTCACTTATCACTTCTCCTTTATTTCTGATTTTATTTATTTGGTTATTTAATTTTTTTCCATGAGTCTGGTTAAATGCTCACCAATTTGATTTATCTTTTCAAAAAACCAGGTCTCGGTCTCATAGATATCTTGTATTGTTTTTTAGACTCAATTTCATTAATTTCTACTACTCAGATCGTTTTACTTCCTTCCTACTACCCACTTTGGGGTTTGTTTATTCTTCTATCCATTGATGTTAGTAGGGTGTTAAAATCCCATGTTATTTTGGTATCACTGTCTATGTTTTTCTTTATGTCCACTCATATTTGCTTCATGTATTTTTAGATGCTCCTATTTTTGGTGCATTAATGTTTACAAGAGGGTTGTATCCTCCTGTTAGATTGATGCCTTTATCACTATGAAACATCCTTCTTTGTGTTTTTTTATTATAGCCTTTTTTTAACATCTATTTTGTCTGATATAAGTATTGCCACCCCAGGTTTTTTGTTTCCATTTGCATGAAACATCTTTTTCCAACCCTTTACTTTCAGCCTGTGTCTTTTTATCTGAAGTGAGTCTCTTATAGACAGCATTTATATGGGTCATGTTTTCTTAGCCATTCAGCTACCCTGTGCCTTTTGATTGGAGCATTTAATCCATTTACACTTAGACTAATTAATTATATATTTAGTTATTAAAATTTTATTATTCATATTTTTACCTTTTCT